CAGCCAACAGGTGTGTTGGCCGGTGTGTTAGGGTCCTAATGCTCTTTCTCTGAACTTTTTGTTTCGAAGCCCAAGCCTCCTGCCCTAGGACAGCTGGTTCTGACCTCCTTTTCTGCCTAACTGCTGCCCATGGTGGGCTTGACACTCTCCACCACGTTCGTTCCTGCTGAGTCCCCACGAGGTGGCATCACCCTTAGTTCTTAGCCACTTTCTGGTCAACCTGAGGCTCCTCATGTGTGCTTTGGGGCTCACTGTGGTGAGCCTCAGGGACTGCCCCTTCCCACCCTCTGAGTCTGGCTTTGGATGTGTTGTCCGAACCCCACTCTCTGTAGACTCCCCTGGCCAGCAGCCCCAGGCTTCCCTCCCTTTCTGAGGTGGCAAGCATCCCTCCCTTTCTCCTGGTTCACACCCTTCTTCCTCTCCTCTTGCGGACTGTCAGAGCAAGAGGATTCAAACATTTGTCTCAGATTCCTCCAATTTCTTGCCTTAGGGCTTGGATGCTGGGGTTTGGAGGTCTTGGTTCTGTTTCTGCCGCAGGGGCTCTCACAGAAGCCCGGGGTGCCCTTAGTTACCACTTCAGAGCCCCTGCAGGCCAGGCGGCATCACGGTGGAAACCCCAGCTTCGGCTCCAGGGTCGCCGCCGGGTGCAGATGCTGGAGCGCAGTTCCCGCAAGCAGCTGACACAGCAGCTCAGGATCTCTCACTGTCCCCGTGGGATTAAGTTCCACGCGTCCCCAGGGAGACCTGTGCGGTGACCCGCACACCCTGCAGCTTCCTCCAGCCTGGCCTGCCCACTCTCCTGAGGGTTCCCCGGGATCTCCTCCCAAATGTAATGGATCCTCTTCCCTGGAACTCAACCAGAGACTTTCCTTCCCAGAGGCAATGAATGGAGCCTGCTGCACTGACTGATGGGGGAAGAGACAGGGGTAGGAGGAAAGTAGGGTGGGGGAGGAACCATTAGCTAATAGTTCAAAATATTATGGCATGTTATTGAAATCTCGGAGAAGCGGAGCACTTATGCTGTGCTGGGCACGCCACACAAATTACTTCATCTGATCCTCACTAGCTCAGCCCTTGTTATGCTACTTCCAGCACCCAGGAAACTGAGCCTGAGGACTGTCCCCTGGCCAGATGGTGGAGAGGGGACAGGCTGGCAGGCCTGCCATCCCTGGGTCTGTCCCGAAGGTACTCAGCTAGTCAAAGGGATCCTGTATCTCCTATTTCCATCAGTTCTGATGAATTCGAGCAGCTACCTATGTCTCGTTAGAGATTTTTGCCTGTCCATCTTTTCTTCAAAACCTATAAGCACTCAGATTTCTTGAGGCCAGGGGCACTTGCGGATGGTTCGGTGCTATGAAATCGGTGGTGCTGGCCAGAGGTTTGTAAGGGACAGGCAATAGAGATGTCTCCCTCTACCCAGTGGTATCTGGTTAAACCTGCCCTTGGGCTGAAAAGAAAACTGATTTGTACCCTTGGCCGATCTTTGCAGAGTCATGCCCACCAGTTCAAGCTGGAAAGGAGTGCTGCTTCCCTGAAGCTGAGATGAGAGGGAGACATGGAGTGTTGCACTATTCGTGATAGCCACCGCGTGGGGATCACCAACAGGAACCACCTCAGAGCGCTGCGAGGGGAGAGTTTTCCTGGGGGTGCTTAGTGTCTGTTACAGGCTGATGCTCAGCCTCATCTGCAACGCGATGGTGTTTGGAGGTGAGGGAGAATGGGCCATGAGCGGGGAGCCCTCGTGGGAGGAACTGGTGCCCTCCTGAGGGGCCTCCAGAGAGGGTTATGCCTCTTCTGTGACAGAAGGAGGCGGCAAATCTGGTGGCACCTTGGTTTTAGACTCTCAGCCTCCAGCACTGTGAGAAATAAGTATGTGTTGGTAAAGTCACCCAAAACAGAATTCATTTTGTTGTAGAAACCTACAACACCTTTTGCCCCCTGAGTGCTTTTATTGAAGGAAGACAATACGTTAGTGTTTTGTAGTGAGCCAGTATCTTCCCATTTTGTAGTAGAACACAACTCTAGATTTACTGTTTTGACTATTTTATTGTTGTGATTTTGTATTTCTTTTTGGTACCGGGAATCAAACTCAGGACCTGTGGCTGCCAGGCGGGGGCTGCGCCACTGAGCTGTACCCCTGGCTGTCTTGACTGTCATAAAGTACACAGCCTGGTGGCAGCTAGCACCCCCCTCATTTCCTGCAGCTACCAGTTGTGGCTAGTTCCAGCACTTACATTATCCCTAAGGAAATCCTGAACCCACATTAAATGTTCGTTCTTCCTTCTTTCCCACCTCCTGGCAACAGCTATCATCTGTTTTTTTTTTTTTTTTTTTTTTCACTTGTATAGGTTTGTCTAGTCCAGGTTTCTTTAAGCAAATGGGATCTTGCAATATATGAGCTTTTGGGTCTGGGTTCTTTCACTCAGCACAATGCTTTCAAAGATCATCCATGCGCAGCACATGTTAGTGCCTTATTCCTTTTCATGACTGAATAGTACTCCTCCACCTAATTCCTCTGCTCTTCACTAATCCACTCATCAACTGACACATACTCGTGTTGTTCCTACCTTTTGATTTTTCTGCAGTTTTGTGCTGCGGCTTGAGTATCATTGTTTCCAACTCATTTGGGTATACATCTCAGGTGAAACGACAGGCATATGTGGTTAACTTTTCGAGGTGCCTCCAAGCTGTTTTCTAGAGCGGCCATGCTACATCCCCCATCAGTAGTGCTGGGGGTTTCTGTTTCTGCAAAGTCTCCCTAATATTCATCACTGTCAGCTTCTTATTTTACCGTGCCTGTGCTAGTCAGTGTGACGTCGAGTCATGCTGCGATTGGGACCTGCGTCCCCGGCTGACTGACAGCCTGGCAGTCCTTCCACCTGCTCTGGGCGCAGCCGTCTGTCTTCCTTGGAGAAATGCCGACACACAACCTTTACCCATGTGAACGTTGGGTCTTCTTTTGATTAGAACTCCAACAGTTCTTCCTCCATTCTGGATGTACGAGATGTGTGGCTCGCAGACATTTTCCCCCATTCTGTCTTTTCCTTTCTTGGTAGTGTCCTTGCGTGCACACAAGTTTGAACTTTCAATGAAGTTGTCTTTTTCTTCCCTTTGTCAGTTGGGGTTTCGGCATCACAGCCATTATGAGAAGCCAGTAGCACATCCGAAGTTGGATCCGAAATTTGATCTTCAGTGTGCCTCTCAGTGTTCACAGTTTTCCCTTCGGTCTGTTATCTATTTTGAATTAAGCTCTGCTTGTGGGGGCCAACTTCATTCTTTCTTGTATGTGCCCAGTTGTAGTAGCTTTGATTTTAATATAATTTACTGAATTATAAGTGTGTGTAAATACCTTTGAATTAGGGAGGGGGCTTGCCACTCGGCTTGCAAAGCTCCTGGAGATCTGACCACGAGCTCTGTGGGCGCTGTGTGCAGGAGCTGGCCTCACCATGCTGCTGCTCCTGCCGTGTACCGCGTGCTTGGCATGGCTGGTAAGCGCTGGAAGTTGGAGATTTTTTTTAAGGAGTTGAGCTAGAGGATGGGTGAGGTTTGTTTGTGGAACTCTGGGAAGATGGGTGTCTGAGGACCCTTTAGGCACCAGCCTGCCCAGAATTTGCAGTAGTATCTGGCTCTCTGGCTTTCCTTTTATGACTTAAAGATTATGGCCAGCTCCCTCCCTCCCTCTCCCCCCCCCCGCCTGTCTCCCTCTCCCCCTCCCCCTCCCTCTCTTCTCCCTCCCCCTCCACTCCGTCCCTCCCTCCTCCCTCTCTCCCACTATGAGCTGAGCTACTCCTTCTGGCTTCAAGGTGACCAATTTTGGTTTTGGTTTATTTTTATTTTTTTCCATAATTTTATTGAGAAACAAATAGCAATGAGACAGTTTCAAATCAAATTGGTAAGACAGTTTCAATAATTAACACATTGCATACTATCTTTCTAGTGGTTATTTGCTGTGCAAGATGCAGACACAATATCCTATGTACAAACACTATTAGAACAAATCCCTCTATTCATTGAATTAAGAGAATGTAACTATATATCTATCCTAACTATTCTGAATACACGGATACAAAATGATCATTCATCTATTTCCCTTTTTTTGTTTAGTTCTGTCATTTAAATATTATAGGTGTGTGAACTCAGCAAAATATTCCAAAATAGTCCAGTAGTCCATCATGGTATTGGGTCTTCCATTTGGCTGGCAATGAAGGTGACCAATTTTGTCCAACTGGCTCTGAAGGGCTTTGGAAGTTCCGCTTTAAGTGGGAATCCACATCTCGTCCTGAAGCCAAAGAAGTGCCCCATTACCTGGGAGCATCTGCAGAGCAAGATAGGGCTCCTGGTTACATTTAAATCTTAGCTAAGTCATGCACAATATTTTAACATTAGCCTGACCCATGCAAGAGTTGGGACATGCTTACACCAAGAGTGATTTTCACACAGAATTTGAGACATGCTCACAATATCCCAAAAGAACTATGCCTTGTTTATTCAAAGTCAAACGTAGCTATGAATCCCCTGCTTTTGTTGCAAGCCTCCTTTGAGGTCAGTTTTCATTTTCACTGTTTTTAGCCTATGGCAGAGACTCCGAATCCCAGAGTGGGAAGGGCCTGATTCCTTGTCCATTTTCTTGAAACTGAGATCAAGTGAAAACCTAGCAAGGTGCAGAGTAATCAGACAGTGAAGTGCTTCTCAACCCCAAAAGGAATAAAGCACTACAGGTATGCAGATGTTAAGACTGAGAAAGCAAAAGATGCGCTTCAAAGAGGCTTGGGGGTGGCCCCTGTTTTGCCATGGAGTTGTGGCATTACAGGTCAGCTCTTAATTTCTTCCTTCCTAACTTGGGTACAAGAGTCCTTGTGGATGGTTGTCAGGGCTCAAGGCGTGTGAAAGGCCCAGGAGGTTTAAGGGAGTGTTTACTGCTGGAGAGAAGAAGTACCCTGGTAAACTGTGGCTGTCTCCTGCAGGTTGCCTGGCCTCCTGAGTTGCCCGGACGGTGTGGAATGGAGGCTCCAGAACCCACCTTCCCTGCTCCAGCTACCAGGGACCAGACAGTTCCTATGCCTGGACCCACGGGGGCCCCGAGTGGTCAGGCCTCTCCTCGTCTTACCTTGGGGCCCATCATCCTGCCTCCGGAGCAGGGCCTTCCCCCTGCCATGATCCTCAAAGCTCTGCCTATCCCGCTGTACCATACGGTGCCTCCTGGGGGCCTCCAGCCACGTGCCCCGCTGGTGACAGGCAGCCTGGAAGGGGGCACGATGCCCTTCATCCTTAGTCCCCTGCTGCAGCCTGAAGGGCCTGGGTCGGCCCAGGTGGGCAAGCCAGCCACTCCAGCCCTGACAGTGAACATCGTGGGCACCCTGCCTGTCCTGTCCCCGGGGCTGGGGCCCGCACTGGGCAGCCCTGGCAAGGTGCGGAATGCTGGCAAGTACCTGTGCCCGCACTGTGGCCGTGACTGCCTGAAGCCCAGTGTCTTGGAGAAGCACATCCGGTCCCACACGGGTGAGAGGCCCTTTCCCTGCGCCACGTGTGGCATCGCCTTTAAGACCCAGAGCAACCTGTACAAGCACAGGAGGACACAGACGCATCTCAACAACTCCCGGCTGTCCCTGGAGTGTGAGGCAGGTGGGAGCAGTGTCTCGGAGGAGGGGAACAGGGCTGGAGAGCCCTCCGCAGGGGACAGCAGGCCAGAGAACTGGAGCCAGAGAACGAGTGATGGAGCACCAGGGAGGCCTCTTTCCCCGGGTGCCCATCTGTCCCTTGATGTCAAGAACCTAGAAGCGAAGGCGGAAGTCGCTCCCCCAGTAGGTTCCATACCTGCAGGAAGAGAGGGTCCTACGGACTCCTCCCAGACGACATTGCCTGGTCTCCCGCTGGCCACCACACAGTCTTGGCGGAAGCTGCCAGAAGCAAAACCAGGCTCCCTGCAGCGGCAGCAGGAGATGTCCTCGGAGAAGCCCTGGGACGCCAAGGCCTCCGAGGGCCGGCTAAGGAAGTGCGAGAGCACCGACTCGGGCTACTTGTCTCGCTCAGACAGTGTGGAGCAACCGCCGCCGCCCTCCAGCCCCCTGCACAGCCTGTCGGAGCACAGCGCAGAGTCCGAGGGGGAGGGAGGCCCGGGCTCAGGCCCTGGGCGCACGGGAGCCGAGCCCGCAGCACCAGCGGCCAGCGTGGAGCTGGAGAAGAAGCGGCTGGAGGAGCGCATCGCCCAGCTCATCTCCCACAACCAGGCCGTGGTGGATGACCCCCAGCTGGATCATGTGCGGCCCCGCAAGACCGTCCTGTCCAAGCAGGGCAGCATTGACCTGCCCATGCCCTACACCTACAAGGACTCCTTCCACTTTGACATCCGGGCACTGGAGCCTGGCCGCAGGAGGGCCGCCCTCAGCCCAGCCTGTTCCACCTTCACCGCTCTGGATAAGTCCCGGCCCCTCTTCTTCCACTCTGTGCCCACTCAGCTCTCCAGCACGGTGGAATACGTCCCGGTCACCAGGAGCAACTCGCTGCCCTTTGTTGAGGCCTCCAGCACGTGGCCAGAGCCTCGAGATCGGCAGGACACCTGCCCCACGATGCAGAAGCCCCTGAGCCCCAGGCTGGCCCCAGCCCGACTGGGTTGCCGCTCTGGGCTGACCTTGGCGGGTGTCTCCAGTGGCCACCCCCGGGCCCTGGTGAGACAGGCTGCCGTGGAGGATGTGTTCTGCACCCCCACCTCAGATCCTGTTGCCCCCACAGAGAGCCTGGATGGAAAGAGAATTGCCCCCGGGGAGGGGGTCCCTTGCACGAGCAGGGGGTCCGGTAAGAAGTGCGGCCAGAGGAAGCCGAAGATGTTCTCCCAGGAGAAGTGGCAGGTGTATGGCAATGACACGTTCAGGAGAATCTACCAGAAAATGAAAGCCAGCCATCAGGGAGTGCGGAAAGCCAGGGACGGACCAGGGGGCCACGGGACAGAGCTGCCTCCTCCGCAGAAAGAGGCAGCAGAGTCCAAGGGGGCAGCCCCGTCTCAGGACAGTGGAACACCTGTCCTTGGAGACGCTTCTGTAGCGGCCAAGCCAGTGTCTCAGGGAAGTCCACCAGCTCCAGAGGGCCCCGTAGATCCTGAGTCCCCTGAACTTGGGAGGACGGGGTCCAGAGCAGAAGCCAGGGACCAGCTCAGGATGGCCAGGGCTGTGTCATCCCCCACCCTTGGCAGCAGGGTTCCCTCAGGCTCAGGCAGTAGGAGTCCTCTGCTTTCTCCAAACGGGCAGCAGGAGCTGAGGTGGCAGCTGCCCCTGGTGCCTGGGCCCCTACATGAAGGTGACTTGGGTGCTCCCAGGCCAGCTGTGTCAGACCTCCAGCTGGAAGGGGGCGTTTCTGGGGATGGAGGTGTGAAGGAGACACACCCACGGGCTTCAGCTGTGCTGAGACGGCCTGGGGGTGGCTCTGGGGAGCCCTGGCCTGCAGAGGACAAACTCCCCTCGGAAAGGAAGAAGCTGAAGGTAGAAGGGCTGAACCCTCAGGAGCAGCTGGGGCCCCTGGCAGCAGAGATTTCAGGTGCCTCTGCTCAGGATGCCTCTCTGCCCTCCCAGAGGCAGGACAGTGACCCTAGGGAGATAGCAGGTGTGCCACAGGAGCAGGCCAAGAAGGTGGCTGATCATTTGGCACCCTCTGGCACCTTCTCAGCTGCTCTTGCTGCTGCCCAAAGGCAGGCAGGGCTGGAGGGCAAGGAGCCCACACTGCCCCCTGCTGTGGGGGCTGCCGGGCAGCATTCCCAGCAGGTCTCCCGGTCGCAGGCTCCCCACATATTCCCAGCTATGGCAGGCAGCAGCTTTCCTCCTAAGTACCTCCTTAGGTTACCTCAGGGAGACACCCCCTCCCCACTGCCTGTCCCTGTAGTGTCCATACAAGGCCAACACTCTCTGTGCACAGCTGGGCCACCCAAGGAACTGGGGATGCCCTGGCCTCCTGGCCTGGCCTCAGACCCAATCCTAGGCGAGGTGGATGGCAGCCCAGAGGAGCCCAGCTGCTTCAGGCCAAGGGATGGAAAGAGCAAGACGCCTTTGGGAAGAGAAAAGCAAGCAGAGACTGACGCATGCATCCTGGCACCTGTGCAGTCTCCTGGCTCAGCCCCGGGGCCCCCTCGGGACACAGCCTCTCTCCTACCTGTCTCCACGTGTGACACCCTTGCAGTCCAGGACAAGGGAGGTGAGCCCTATGACACCTGTCACTCCTGCACAGACAGCACATCAGCAAGGACCAGGACCTCTGGGGGTGTCCTAAAGACTCAGGCATCCGGCAGGGAGCTGCAGCGGTGTCCTGAAGATGTCTCAGAAGACCCTCCCTTGAAAGTCAGCCCCTGCTGCTCTGTCCAGCCCGGCTCCTTCCCCATGGCCCGCTCAAGGCCACAGCCCTTGCCCCTGGGCCACCTAACACTGTCTCTGACGCCCAACTTAGGGACCCTTGGGAGCTGTGGGGCGCAGAGTCCCTTCCCCTCCCTGAGGGCTGAGCCCCAGCTCACATGGTGTTGCCTGAGGCGCAGCCTGCCCCTGCCTCAGGAGCAGAAGGAGAAGGCTGCTTCCGTGTACTCAGCTCTGCACTTCCCTGGCGGCAGCCTCCAGGGTGGAGGTCCTGATGCCCAGCCCCTGAACGGTGGAGAACACATCACTGCAGGTCCTGGAAGAAGAGGAGGAAGAAGAGAAGGAGGAGAAAGAGGAGGAGGAGGAGGAGGAAAAGAAGGAGGAGAAGGAGGAGGAAGAGGGCCAGTACAGACGCCCCAGGTAACTCCAGCTCTGTCCAGTGTGGGGCTGAGAGAGCATATGTGAAGCCTCCCTATTCAGCAGCTGTGGTCTGTTCTGGCTTCTCAGCCTCCTCCCAAAGGAGGCTGGGGCTGCACACCTAGGGAGGGGGTGAATAAAGGTTTTAAACACACAGAGAAGAAAGTCATGGAAAAATAAGTTTTAGGGGCTGGCCAGATAGCTCAGTGGATTCAAGCGCCTGCAAGCAGGTGCAGGGGCCGGGTGTTTGATCCCCTGGCCTGCTGTGCTGGCCCCACCCCCCAGGAGGCACACTGAGATGGCAATTGAGACTGGGCGTGGTGACACGTGCCTCTAATCCCAGCTCTTGGGAGGCTGTAAACAGGCGGATCACTACAAGTCTGATCTAGTAGTGAGACCCTGAACACCCTGTATGTAGATCCTTCCCTAAAAATACAATAAATAAATAAATTTATTTTAAAGCGTTATTATACTGTAGCTTCTGCGTGAGCTACTGCTCATGAGACATAGGTTAGCTCTGAGCTTCCTGGCACAGAAGCAAACAGTCTGAAAAACAAAGCACAACCATGGTCATTATACCAGGCTGGAAAATAATTACTATCATTGGTCCCAAATGCACTACTGAGTTGCCCAGGGCCAGCGACAACGAAGGAAATGCAGTGAGTCCTCAAGGGGGTTCTTACGCGGTGAGGAGCTCATGGGTGTGTGGCTCCACCTTGGGGATGAGCTGCCCAGCCTTGAGGTCTTGATCATGCCTGGCCCTGCGTGCTCCGGGTCACTAAGAAGAGTCTGGAGCCTCAGTTCTAATTTGACCCAATGAGCAATGACAGTTGTTTCAAGTGTGAACCTGGGAAGTTGCTCTGCTTCTCTCCTGGTGGTGCCTGAGGGTGGTGCCACCCTTTGTCATCTGGAAAGTGGTGGGACTGAGAGGGCAAACCCAAGTCCAGCTTCGAGGCTGCCTTCCTCCAAAGAGAGGACTAGGAGGGTGACCTGGAGCCTCATGTTCTGGAGGCCTTCTGGCTATGTTAGGGGTCAACCAGCCCAGGCCGGGTTCCAGAAGGTTCTGTGCAGGTACAACTTGTAGGCAACTGGTTGGAGTTCTTATGAGTACAGGTCTCTTGTCACTGCAGCATTTCTATGCCTGGGTTCTATAGATGGGCACCCTGTCTGGACAGAGAGAGAGAGAGAGGGAGGGAGAGAGAGACAGGAGAGGCAGAGAGACAGACAGAGAGACAGAGAGAGACAGAGAGAGACAGAGAGACAGAGACAGAGACAGAGAGAGACAGAGAGACAGAGAGAGACAGAGAGAGACAGAGAGAGACAGAGAGACAGAGAGACAGAGAGAGACAGAGAGACAGAGAGACAGAGAGACAGAGAGTGAGCGCTTTAGGGCTGTGCCTGCCGCAAGGCGCTGAGCAGTGAGCAGCACCCTGGTAACACACTTGCTGTTTTCAGCACTCCTGCCTCATGGTCTCAGGGACGCGGACCCAGGACCTGACATTGGACCCAGAGTGGAAGAAAGGCCTGTCTCGCAGGAGGACAAAGACAGTCTGCAGGAACAGCAAGCAGAGAAAGCTGAAGACCAATCCAAAAAGGTAGGATGTGCACCTGCTCCACCCTTTCCGTGCATGCCAGGGGTCTGAAGTGTGAGCTGGACCTAATCCAACCCCAGAGACTCGGCACGGGACTTGAGGGGCTTCTCTGTGCTTCGGAGAGAGGGCTCTGATTTAGTAGGATCTGTCATTTCCATGATGAAAGGGCTGGCTTGACTCCCCACACACCCACCCTCCACTGTCTGTGTGTTTTCCATTGGTACCCTTCTAAGTTAACCGTCCAAAGAATGTTTGAAATAACAGGGTTGAAAGCACATCCATCCAATGCGAATCCTAGAGAGAGAGCATTAATGGTGGTGTGTATTGCTTTCTGAATTATGGAAACAATGTATGTTCATTGTAGAGAAACTAGAAAATACAGATTGGTGAGGAGAAGACAATAAAATATTTGAGGAACCCTAGTCCTTGGGGGTGACAGATGTGAATGTTCCAAGTCTATCTCCTTGACAGACGTCCATGAACACACTCACTGATGACAGCTGGGAGGACGTAGACTTTTGCAGCACTGTTTGATCATTTGCTTGTCTTGCTTCCTTGCTTAAAATCCTCCAGGGCTGCAAGTTAACTTGTACAAGTTTAATGTACAATTAAAAAGCAAGATCTTTGGCGTGTTTTACCTGTTACACACAGCCTTCTCTGTGTCCTGCCCTCAGAAACGTCTTACTCTTATTTTTCCATGACATCTTGCGCATGCCGTGTGGTGGCCCGGCAGCCCTTCCTTGAAAGGTTGCCCTTGACCTTCTCCTCCCCCGTGTAAACTTGATCCAAAGTCCAGGTGTTCTGCAGGATGCGACCCAGACTCCTCATTATTCCCTTCAGCGGCTGAGACTCTCAAGGGCTGGAGATGACCTCTGCTTCTTAGAGTCTCCCTCCTGCTGTCACCAGTTGTCCATAGGACCACGTGTCCTGAGCCAACCCCAGCTGTGTTCCTGGCACTGTGCGTGTGATGTGACCGCATTGTTAGGTCATGAGAGCCTCCCGTGACTCTGAGAGGTAGACGCATCATTAGTGCTGTCTTTCTCACAAGGACGTGGAGACATGGAGAGATCAGATTTGAGCGGGCAAGTCTCCCTCCACAGCCTCTGTGCTGATGTGCCTGCCTTGTGCTCCAGGCCTGTCCTGGGCCTGTTAATTTCCTAGGGTATTTTTGCGCTGCTGTGTAGGACCCAGCCACCCTGGGAAAGGGCCCAAGAGTCTGCATTTCTAACAAGCAATGATGCTGGCCCTGCCCAAAGAGCAGGACTTCATGCTGCTCCAAATCACATCTCATCCTCCCTAACATCCATGATGTTGGTTCATGCTTTGTTGCTTGGGTCATTCAGAGTGCTGGTAACGAAGCCCAAGTGAAAATAGCCTGACCAAAACAAGGACTGCTCTAGTAGGAAGCATGCGTAGGAATGGCCCAGCAAAGGAAGCTTTGGACACGGATCTCAGAAAAAGGGAGAATGTAGAATGACCAGACCAGAGAGTATCTGCCTGGGATGTTCTGGGGAGGTACGGACATTGGCAACCTGGTTGTTATTCCCCCACCTCCGCCCTGCCCCAAGAATCTCATCGACAAATTAGTAGCACTAAGTCACACCTGAGTGACAAAAGCTGAGTCTGAAGTTTCCAGGTAGCATGTGGAGCCCAGCAGACATTGGAAGGCAGGGAGCAAGGGGGGTCTTAACAGTTCCCATGTTCCCTGGACCTCTCTGCTTGACTTGGCAACCCTCACTGAGCCCGGGTGGAGGTTGGGGGAGGGGTTCCTCCACATGAGGCTGGGAGATCCCAGGCTGAGGCCCCAAACGCTGGGAACATCTTTCCAGGATCCCTTGAAAACCCGTTAGCAGCTCTTTGGCAGAACAGCATCCCTGTAACACTGTCATTGTGCTGGTGTTCAGGCTAAAGGTTTGGGCAATTAGTAGCCATATAATAAAAATCAGATCTTACACAAAAACCTGGACCTCTCACTCCTCTCAAGCTTTCAGAAGCTCTGAAGACACTGGGTCTGAGTTCTGGTGGGCAGCTGCGGGCTGGAACTGAGCAGGGGCCCCAGTCCCTTCCATGTTGCCTTGATGTCAGCCTGCCTGTTTCAGTTATCTACCTGGTGCTCACAGACCTCTGAGTTTGTAAATCTTCTTCCTAATAGTTGGCCTAATAGCTGCCGAAAGAGCGCCTCCTGCTGAATGAGGAGGTTCAGCTGTGACTCGCGCAGGAGCTGTTCCTTAGTAGAGCATGACTGTCCTTCTGGGTAATTCCATTGTCAGGGCTGCTGTGCTCGCTGGTTCCTGCGAGTCCACCCTAGAGTCCCACTCAGGTGTCCGTGTGCAGCAAAACCCTAAACCCAGCAGGCAGCTTCTGCGCCCTGATGATTGTCCCTTTATTTTCCACCTCATCGTCTCACTTATTTTCTCCTGGACTCCCCCACTGTCACTACATCTGTCTGTCTGGACGTTTATTAGCCAGTTCCCACCCCCAGGATCAAAGCCCCTTGACAACAGGGCCACATTTACTTCATGCAGCGTGTGTCTCAGGCATCAGAACAGTGACCAGCGCAGCAGCAGGAAAGCATCAGTAGTTAATAACGTGTGTTCAGTGTTCTCTGAACTTGGCCACTACGTACAGAGGGCTACGGGAATTACCTATTGCTATGTAACAAATGACTGCAGGACAAAGTGGCTTCAGATGACACACGCTTACCCTTTCTCAGCCTTTCTGTGGGTGGATGATTCGGGAGCGGCTTTGCTGGGCCATTCTGGCATGGGGTCTTTCTTGAGACTGCCATCAAGGTGTTGGCTGGGGATGCAGGCCCACTCCCAAGGAGGTTCCCTCACTGGGGCTGACTATGGGCAGCAGCCCAGTCCCTCCCTGTGCGAGCCTTCCTCTTCATGGGCAGCTGAGGCATCCTCCTGAGGGGTTGACTGGTTCCCAGAGTGATGATTCTGGAAAAAGTATGGCAAGGCCACATCCTCTTTTGTGACCTATTTGCAAGAGTCATGTTCTCTGGTTTCTGCAGTACCCTATTGGTCACCCAGGCCAGTGTTATATCCTCCCTTCCAGGGAGGGAAGTATGCAGAACAAGAGCACCAGAAGGGCTTGGGGACCGTCTCGGAGGACACATAAGAGGATATGGTCCTTCTCTCGAGGCACTTCTGGTCCAGAGAGGAAGGTGGAAAGATGATATCCAACCGTGAGACCAGGCAGCTCGTGAAAAGATGCAAACCAAGATGAGTCTCCAAGTGCATTGGCCATAGAGCCAGGAGGTGGGGATTCCAGCCGTGGACTTTCCTGATTCTTAGCCAGGGCTTTCCATTTTCTACCTGTGTTAGCCCATTTAATACTGAATGCAGAATCAGGCTGTTGGGGAAAAAGTCCCCCAGAATGCCACTCCCTGGTAGGCATGCCCTGGCTGGCCCTCCCCTTGGGTCTGAGTGCACCTGAACCAATCAGACAGGCACTTCGGGAGTCTCATACAGGAGTGGTCTAAGACATTGGAAGGTGTGGTGATCGCTCTCGGCTGGCTTTGAGGAGCAGACACGCACAGTGACAGAAACGGCAGGCAGGAGGAGCCTTGAAATGCTAAGGGCAGCAAGAAGGTGAGGACCCCATTCCAACAGCCCCAGCCACACTCCCAGGAATCTGTTCTTTTGACGGCCAGGGAGCATAGAAGCAGCTCTGGAACTGTGGAGAGGAATAAAGCCTGGGAGACAACTGGCTTTATTTAGCCTTAGAGGCTCCTAAGCTGAGAGTCCAGCTGAGCTTAGCCTGGACACTTGCATTTCAGATTCTGGGATAATAAATGGGGGTCACTTTCTGCTGCTAAACTCGAGCTAACATGGGAGCCAGCAGGTACAATTTACAGAGTGGGAAAGAGAGACCCAGGGAGCAGAAGTAAATCGACCAAGAGCCACAGCTCTGAGAGGCCCTGACACCTGCGCGGGTTCCCAGAGGGCCTCCAAGGGGCCTTGAGGTCAGGGGACGTGTGCCCTTCCCATGTTCTATGCTTCCGCCCAAGTCCCGAGGCCCCAGGTCATTTTCCTTAAAGTGGTACCTGCTCCGAGGTCTGTCTTTCAAGAATTTTTGACACAGTGTGAACTGGATTTTAAGAAACGATGTCTTGTTTATGCCCCTTAAAGCGATTCTCTGATGTGGAAATTTCCATTATCCTTCCTATAGATAAGGGAATAACAGTTCAGAGAACTCTAATGGTGTATTCATTTTTTATGACAAGTGACAAGTTACCATACTGGGTCTTAAAATAACATCCATTTATTAGCTCACAGTTTCAGCAGTTCGAAAGTCTGGTACAGTTTAGCCGGCTCCTCTGCAGAGGTCTCCGAGGCTGTGAGCAAGATGGAACCTACATAGGGAAGAATGGCACCTCCCTGCCTGGGCGGTGGGCAGAAGCCTTTGTTGTGAGGCACAGAATTCACAGCAGTTTGTTTCTTCACAGCCAGCAGAGGAGAAAGAGTGTCTCCGTAGCTTCCATCTCTAACCTCTAAGCCAGCTGTTGAAGGGCTCATCTGATAGATAAGGCCCCCCCTGCTCTAATCGACCTTTTCATTAGGGACTTTAATTACATCAGAAAAGTACCTTTACCGTGGTGGTCTTTCCTAGTGAGAGGCAAGTCCCAGGTCCTGCCTGTATTCAAGCGGAGGAGAATATGCGCAGTGTGACTTATGAAGGGCCACTCCGGCATGGCTGCCACACACAGCTTTTCCGGCTGGTCTGGTCAGCGCAAATAGCACAGCTAGCTGAGTTTTCTAGGGCCAGTGTTTTCTACCATCACCTCTGGCACGCAGTTGCGAGGACTGAATCTTTGATCTGAGGTGCTCGGATGGTGAACGGGTTTCTTTTAAAGGTAAATCACCCGCAAAGCCACTGGACACATTCTACCCAGCCTCCAAGGGTGCAATAAGAACGTTACCCACTTGTTTCACCCACATGAAACTTCAAGCATAATCAACTTTGCAGTGTTGCAATCAACCCATTTGCAACAG